CCAGAATTCCCCATTTCCCCCCAGAATTCCCGATTTCCCCCCAAACCTTGAGTTTGGGCACGTTCTGGATGCGGACATCGTCGGTCACCGTCCCCACCACCACGGCTGTTTTGTCCTCCCGGCCCGGCTTCCGCATCATCCGGATCTGCCAAACCCCCAATTCCCATCGAAACACCCCAAAAAAACCCGGGAAATCCCCAAAACCCCCCCGGAGAATCCCTGGAATTTCTCGCAAAAAAAATTCCTCGGGAAAAAAAAACCAAACCAGGAAAATTCCAGGGTTAAATTTCAACGAAATGCCCGAAAATCCTAAAAAAAAACCCCCCAAAAATCTCATTTTAAAGCAGGAAAAATCCCTGGGGAAAAATTAAATTCCGCAGGAAAACAACGAAATTCTGCGGAAAATTATAAAAAACCAACCAAAAACCTGAAACTGCACAAAAATAGAAATAAACCAAAAGAAAAACCACCGAAAGCAGGAAAAATTCCATGGGGAATTTGGGAAATCGCGGAATCCCGTGAGGAAAAGGCGGGAGTTCCAAATTAAAATTAAAAAGTTAAATTAAAAAAGCATCAAATTAAACCCCCAAACCCAGCCGGAATCCCCCAGATAATTAAAATTAAAAAATTAAATTAAAAAGCTCCAAATTAAAACCCCCAAACCCGGCCGGAATCCCCCGGATGACCCCGGATGACCCCGGGTGACCCCGGATGACCCCCGGGTGACCCCGGGCGGTTTTGGGGTGAATGGCGGCGGTTTTGGGGCTCACCAGGCGGGACAGAGCGAGCGGCGGGCGGTTGGAGCGGCTCATGAAAAGGCGCTTCAGCACCACGCGGTTGAACGGGGCGTTGGTGCGGCGGGCCAGGAAGCGGTACAGCTGCAAAACGGGGAGAAACAGCGTGAGAACGGGAAAGAACGGGAAAAAACCGTGGGAACGGGAAAAAACGGGAAAAAACCCGTGGGAACGGGAAAAAACGGGAGAAAAACCCGTGGGAACGGGAAAAAACGGGATAAATCCCGGTGGGAACGGGAAAAAGTGGGAGAAACCCGCGGGGCTCGGAGCTCGGGAGACACCGGGACACCGGGAACGAACAGGGGAAAAGCGGGGAGGGCGCGGGGAACGGAACCGGGCCGGGCCGGGAAGCGGAAACCCGGGACAAACGGAACCGGGACGGGCCGGGGAAAGCGGGAAAAGACGGGGAAAAGCGGGGAAAAAGGAGAAGCGGCGGATCCGGGCCAGGGAAATGGGCAAAACCGGGGAACACAGACAGGGAGCGGGCGAGAGCGGGCCC